CTGAGCTGCTAGACTAACAGATTAGGTAAACGAGACTAGTGACTTCTCACACTTAAAGTGTCATAAGATCAGTTCTCAGAAGAATTTAAATAACCATCTTTATATTGATGCAATCCCTTTAAATCTTAAGGGAAATAATCCCTTTACATCTCAGCAGACCAAATCCACAGTTGTGGTTAAAATATGAAACATAGCTGATTATTTCATACTGTTAGTCCCCTGCGGATGCCATCTCCTACTTCTCCTACCCCCTCCTCCTTCCAACATTTGTTAAACTGCCTGAAAATAGCTATTTGGAGAAAGCCCCAGGATACAGATGATATTGAAGACGTTTGGGCCAACCTGAAGTGAAGTATCAGAGAGGTCACCCAGAGAACCATACTGTACATGGTTGGTCCTAGTAAAAAAAAGTTAGTTTTCAAGATTTATTGCAGATTAAAAATGTGTTAGAACTGTCCAGTTTATTAACAATATATGCATGAAGCAATGATTGGCAGAGGGGGCTGAATCATGAAGATGGTGCCTACTCAACCTATTCTACCTGCACAATCAAAATTATCTTTTAGTCTGTTGTTTTGATCCATTTGGGCTATTTTAGTTTGTGAAAGTTTTAAATGACTGTCTCTCCATTCAGATGGAACCCCACAACAGACAGGTTTTTCAGACCAAAGATTCTGCACATAAAGACAAATCACACTCTGGAACTGTTGTCATGGTTTTTAGGGTCCAGGATAAGATATCAAATCAGGGCTTCCCAATGTCCTCTTCCCCTGCACTGTAGCAACCCTTGTGACTGTCTCTGCTATCATCCCATCCAGCCCTGCTTCTTCCCCAACAAGCCTCATCCCATCCTGGATGCTTTTATTTAATAGCCTGTCTCACTAATGAAGATTTTTCCTGACTCCTACACTGGAATAAATCAGAATAACTTTCAATTGACTAATAAAAGTATACCAATATGCACCAGCTGAGGATCTGACCCTATGTTTTGTTTTTTAAATAGGAATAGTAAATATGTATTTACAATTTCACTCATGTTAACCACACGTGGGTTTTCACTGCCTCCAGATTGCGACTTCTTTGGGAAGGGACTGGTGTGTGTGTGTGTGTGTGTGTGTGTGTGTGTGTGTACACAACACATTAATAATAGCAACTGTTCTTTTTACAAATGCTAGCACTGTCTCTTGCGTGGCTTCTGGTCGTTTCTCTGCTTTGGTTTACAGCCTCATTCATTTTAAACCATCATTGTACTGGAGTATTGTGCTCTTCATCTTCTTTTTTTACATTAAATAATTCTAGAGGGTGCGGATGGGATTATTATTTTTCTAATGGGAAGCTGTTAATTAAAAACCTGCGTGGATCTGGACCGTTATTCAAAGGCTGCAACAAACAGCAATTGTATCAGCTAAGGAGGCTGCCAAGCCATTGTTCTCCACGAGAAGCCCTGGTGCTTATAAGAAGAAATGTTATTAGACTTTAGCATTTTTGTTTCTGGCCTAGCAAGAACAGGTCTCTGCTATCCACAGGGTGTGCTTTTCTCTATATGTATGTGCCTGCTCCTGCTTTTAGATAGCAGTGAGTGCTTATATCTACATAAATTGCATTACATGATTATAAAAAAAATAAAACTTACTATAAGAAAATAATCTAAGCTTGTAAATGCATTGAGAAGAATGAAAGCTCATAATAAATAAAGGGTGGCCTATAAGTTATGTTGTAAAGGTTTTGCACAAGTGTTGTCGTGGCGGCAGTAAAAAGACCTTTATCTACCAACCACATAGAACAGCTCTCAGATGTAGATTGATTTTTAGATTGCATGACATACTGAAACCAACATGTCAATAAACCAGAGTGAAACCATAAGCATGATTAAATACATTTCAACACAATAAGAACAGGAGTACTTGTGGCACCTTAGAGACTAACAAATTTATTAGAGCATAAGCTTTCGTGGGCTACAACCCACTTCTTCAAGTGGCCCACGAAAGCTTATGCTCTAATAAATTTGTTAGTCTCTAAGGTGCCACAAGTACTCCTGTTCTTTTTGCGGATACAGACTAACACGGCTGCTACTCTGAAACATTTCAACACAATGAGTTCCATTACACAATCCGCTTTGTACATTTTTCACTGAGGGGCACACTCTGGGTCACACAGAAACATTTCACATCACTGGCAGCATTAAGGAAAAAAGCCTCTTAAAAAAAAGAGAAAAATTGATCACTTAGGGTGGCTTTTCTCGTAATTTTTCTCTATTTTTCTCTTGAGATCAGAAGGTCTATCTATTATGGCAGTTCTCTGATGGAGAGGCAAGAAATCATAAAAGGGAGAAATGATTAATTTTCATTTTTTACAGAATTTTGCTTCTTTCTTGACTTTCAAGACAACATGATTTACAAAGGGCATTTTGGACTGCCACCTGCTGAACTATGTTGTGACAAAACACCAATCATTGACTCTCCCTAGAAAATTACCTTTAAGGACATAATAATATGTATTAAAATCAAATAGAAAGGCAGGAAACAGAATTTGCACAGATTGTCCAGTTACAGATGGTACCTCCTCGCTTTCAGTGAAAAAGTTTGCTCTCCCTCAAGATTTGATCTTGGATCTAACGTACAGAAAAATGAGCTGGAGTCAGAGATCAATGAGAGGGCTGTCAAGGAAGCAGGTGCTTTTAAGTAAGACTGAAAAAAAAACATGGATGGAGCCAAATAATTAGATTTCAAGAAAAAATTAAATTTGCCTTTATAGCTCCTTCATCATATCCAGTGAATTATCTACATTTGAACTGTGGCCCTTGACTGATACTTTCACTTAAGTTTTCGACAGGGGAAGCTGGAAAACTAGCTATGAACTGAGAGCATTGATTTGCAGCAGTTCTGCACTAATGGGTTCCTAGAGACTAATAAAATAAGTTACAGTCTAATAAAATGACTGATCTTTCATTCAGTGATAACACTGAACCTTAGCTGTGAAGTCAAGTTATACACATTATTCTAAATGCTGGGATAAAAAAAAATAGCAGAAGCCACATGTCTCCCAGCTGCACTATAAACTACACTGCAGAACAGCGAGATCAGATAACAAGCTCAGAACCCTCACTCTTAAGGTGATGAAATCTGGATATGGCAAAATGATGATTTACTTGATTTGCATGAACGCCTCTTGCTGACTAATCCGACAAGCAATATTGTCGGTGCCTATGAAGAAAATCCTTGCACAGTAAGGCAGGGCGGTGATAGGACAGGACTGTGATAGCCAGGAGATCTGGATTCTATTTCCAGCTCTGTCACTGCCTTTCGTGTCACTGTCACTTTCCTTGTCCTGGGGAAATCACTTTGTCCCTCCCTGAGCCCTCACAGAGAAGCTATGATGCTCCCCATAATGAAAAGTAGGGTCCTTCAGCTTTGGCTAGGCCCATATGCATCAGAACTTGCTTTCAAATTCCTAAGAGGATGTTTTTTACGAGGAAGGGAGGAACAGAAGAACCACCATTATCATGTGTCATTTTATTAAGAGTTGATTAAGATTAGGGCACACATACGCTGCGAAAACACCCGGCGGCAAGGAGTCTCAGAGTAAGGGTCAACTGACTTGGGCCCTTGGGGCTTGTGCTATGGAGCTAAAAGTAGCAGATGTTTCTGCTCAGGCTGGAGCCTGGGCTCTGAGACCTACTCCCCTCACCAGGTTTCACAGCCCAGTCTCCAACCTGAGCGGGAAAGTCTACAATGCTACTTTTAGCTACTTTTGTAGTGAGCCCATGCCAGTTGATGCAGGCTCTGAGGGTACATCTACACAGCAAAGAAAAACCCACCGCTGGCCTGTGCCAGCCAACTCAGGCTTGCGGCGCTCAGGCTGCGAGGCTATTTCATTGCTGTGTAGAGTTCCAGGCTCGGGCTGGAGCCCGAGCTATGGGACCCTCCCACCTTGCAACTTCTTTGCAAAATGGCACAGAGAGAAAGTTGATGCTGCAATGAACAACATTCAAGTCCGTAAGTTTTTCCAGGGGAATTTCCACAGGTTGGAGAAGGGAGCATACCTTGTTGAGCAGCTACTCCCAAACTCTGTTCATTCCTTCTCTTCTAGACCTGTGGAGTCCAATGTTGTCAACTCTTGTGATTTTATTGTAAGTCTCCTGATATTTGGGGGTTTTCTTAAAGCCCAAGCTCCTGAAGTTGTGTTATTACATGAGAATCTCAGCTTTCACTTAAAGTAAGTTGCTAGCCTTCATAGATGTAGAGAAAGCTTGAAAATGTGAACCCTAAAGGCTCAAAAACAAGAAGGCAAATAAAAAGAACCCAACATTGATTATTTAAAAAACAAAGTCTAATGATTTTTAAGTCAATCATATGGTTTTGGGGAGATAGACTCATGAGTTTTGAATGGTTGACAAATGTGAAGTCCTCATCATTGTTTGGCTTGTGTGGTTGTGCATAGGGTCTCCATACCCCCCGCTATTGCAGTAGTATGGCTTTCCCATCCCTCTTCCACCTTTGCTAGAACATTTGGCTTTTAGTAAGGATTACCATTTTTCTAAATTCTTTGTAACCACTGTTTGATAGGTATCATGGTTAATTACTTATGCAAAGCAAAACTATGACTGATGTTTACAGTGAATTACTTATAATGAATGAATATTTTTATATATTACATAATGCACTGTAATTACTTAATCCATTTAATAAAAATTATAAATATGGGGAACATCCATAAAGATCACAAAATACATTAAATATTAAAAATTACATCAATTATTGAGTAATCAATAGCTAAAAGTTACTACTATATTAGAAAGTTTATTACAAATTACTTATAGAAAAGAAAGCTATTAACACTATTAGAATTACAGTTACTGTGCTTATCTTATACTATTGCATATACTTGGGTTATACTATCTGCTTTTTATTTAAGCGTACTTTCATGAATCTCATTTTTCTCCCTTTTCTTAATTTTCAGCCATCTAAAAACAAAGTCACAACAGGTTAAACAATGCTTACATGGTAAAGACATCAATAATGTCCCCAGCAGCTCTTGCCATCTCAAAGTAGGTTTGCAGAATGTTGACAGTTCCTGAGAGTGCTTCATGTCCACAGCCACAGAAGAGTGCGACCCCAGCATACAGCAGGATGGTGGCAATCAATGAGGCATAGGGAATACCCCCCAAGCACTTGATGCAGCACTCAAAACACCCTGCATAGGAAAGAAAATAATATTATAACACTTTTTATTGTCTGTCTGTTCTAAAAGCATCAGCACCTTTTTTGATGTAAGGCAATATTTGTGTTCATGGATATGGTATATGCACTCTGGAAATTGAAGACTGCGGGTCACGGAAAGAGCATGTCAGCCATCAGCAATACAACTTTGCCTACACTGTCACTGTCCTCAGCATCAGAAAATGGAGGGCGATTCATTCAGCTCTTATGCTTTCTCAATTGTTGTTTGACCCATTAAACACCAACAATCCTGACTAAAAGGAAACTATTAAGCAGTGTGAATTCGCTGTATTTTATGTGCTTCTGGTGTTTCTGTTCAGAGCAGATTAACATGCTGAAACTAGGCTAAACCTATAATCATTACTCTAGTTGCTCAGCTAATGGATTATAAAAGAGGACCTAAACAAAACCAAAAAGGAGGATGGTACAGTAATCAGGGCAATGGCCTGAGGCTCAGTAGAACTACATTCAATTCTCTGCTCCACCACAGACTATCTGTGTGAGATTGGGCAAGTCATTTAGTTTCTCTGTGCCTCAGTTCCCTTCTGTAAAACAGGGATAATACCTTGCTGGCATGTTGGAGTGAGGATAAACACATAGTCTGGCACTCAGATATAACTTAGATAATTTTTTCACATCTGAGCTCCGACTACAGTGACAAAAGTACCGGTAAAAAATCCTCATGTGCGCACACTTAGAGCCTGGTTTGCCTTTTACACCAGTATAACTCCACTTACTTTAGGGTCATTGCTCCTGATTTACACCAGTCTAAGTGAAATCAGAAAAGGACCTAGAAAATGAAAATAGTTTAGATATTACAGGTGAACCACAAAGCTTTAATACTGTACAGTGGCTTAACTTTTAGACCTCTAAGGTTGAGTATATTCAGCCTTAGATTACTACAACGAGTTTATTCAGATCCCATGTCTCTTTTCTTCTCCTGCAGCACTTACATTTCTCTTCCCAGCTCCCCTACACTTTCTTCCCCACCAAGAGGCAGAAGATGGCACTTGCCTCCCAGAATAGAGAGCCTCATGATTTCTGCCCATCTACATTCACCCCCCAGGAAGCCTGTCTACATGCAGCATCTCTAGACTCCTTCCCAAAGTCTCTCCAAGTCTGGCATGACCTCCTAATGCATGCTTCCTGCTAGATCCAAGAGGAGACTAGACAAGAACCAGTAGCAGAGGGAAGATAGGTAGCTTCCTTGTTGGGTTATGGTTAAACAGGTAAAAGTATTGACCAAACACAATTGTTCAGTGACTACAAACTTTCTCTTCCAACCACAGTACCAATTTAGGCCCAAATTTTAGGATTTGGGGAAGAAGAGGAAGGAGCTGAGGAGTATAGAATTTTTAATATTAGAGGGACAATATCATGTTAAAAATTAAGGGCCAGATCCTCAGCTGATGTAAACTGGTACACTTCAGTTGACTTCAATAGATCTATGCCAATCTGTGCCAGATGAGGAGATACCTCTCTCTTTTTCAAAAATACAGATTCCCATACTTATCTTAACTTAGATAACTGAAACTGAAAGATTTATAAATGCTATATTTCCTTTTTCCATTTTTGCACTTAATTCAGCCTGGGCAATAAAAGTAGTCTTTTTTGTTCTTTCAGTTCTAGCCTGTTCCATTTTCTGCTTTTCATGTATTAGCAAAATTCTACTGCGTATTTTTATTAATCTCATTTATGTTCCTTTGCATAGTTTTTGCAGCATTAAAA